AAAAAAAAAAAAAAAAAAGAATAGAAACAGAAATCTTCAATTGTGACTTTAAGTCCTATACAGGTATCCTACTGCGACATTACACCAAAAATAAAGAAAAGGATTGTGCTCAGTTGCAGTTGCAAATTTCACTATTCTGAGAGATCAATACATTAGCGTGGCCATTGTATTATAGATCATTATAGAGTGACCTCTGTCATGTTACAATGGGCTTGTAACTCAGTGGTAGAGTGCTCGCTTCGCATGCGAGAAGTCGAGGGTTCAATTCCCTTCAAGTCCAGTTTCTTTCTTTTTTGGCTTCCTGTGGAACTTTGGTTTTTGGTTCATTTGCGATTGCAAAAAGAGTTCTTGGTTATACGTTTTTTTTAAAGGTAATGTCTTGTTGTTTTCTTAGTGTGCTGTTTTTATGGGTTTGATCTAGCTACTATATTTATGGGAGTCGTTGGGTGATGTTTTTTGTTTAATACTAATGCAGTGATGTTGTTGTTATATATTTCTTGAGGCTAGGTCTCACATACAGATACTGGTATATTTATCCCTTGCGTCTTTTCCTTTCGCCCCCCCACCCCCTTGTTCTTCTTGCTTGTTTGGTCGACATTAGGCTATCGAAAGAATGATAGTTTAGGTCCTTGTGAGTGATTATTCTAGCTTGCTCTGTTTTCTAACTCTAAGGTCCTATGCTAACCCGCACGGTAACCCGTATTCCCTCATATGCCCTAGCTTAGCAACAATCTATGGATAACCCCAGGCCTAGACTGCGTACAGCCGCAGAGCAAGAGACGATAACAATTAACATTATTAGTAAATCATGATATATTAGCAAAGCGCGAAGATTCCAGAAAGCCACCCTTATAATCGCAACCCATGTCCATTAATACCCGCCCAACAAATAACATGACTCCATAACCAAAATAACTAATATCGAAGAAATCTACGGAGCTTGGTAGACTTTGAAACTTTTGAATTCCCAATAAGCCTCTGCAAAGGCTGATGGGTTCGTTGCGACAAAAGTGTTGCACGTGCCCGGACACTGAGATTGTTCGGTGTAGAACTGCTTTTGAGCGCCAAGTTGACCGCACAGGTCGATGTTAGCAATGATGCTTTGGTTGCGGAAATGCGACGGGATGTCGCAGTCGGTGTTGGGGAAGTCGGCCAATGCAGTACCCCAGGTGGATGGGTCTGGGGAGCTGTTGGAATTGGTGATATCGTCTGGGATAGAGTCCCGTGGGAACATCCAGGCACGGATGCCGGCATTTCGCAGTTCCAGGGCGTATACCTAGGTTGTGTTAGGTGGTTTACTGGGAATATAGAGACTCTTGGACTTACACCTCCGCCATTGTTGTTAAAAGGCTCACCGTAGCTTTCTGGCGATCCCTGGACACCACACCCTGCGTTCCCGTTGGTGCTGTTGTCGCAGGTTGTATACACTGTGCTACCGGTCTGCTTTCGTCTGACCTTCATATTGCAGCCCTTCGTCGTGTGCAATGTGACGGCATTGCCTTCAGGCGCATTGTTGGTCGTCTCTAGGACATCGATTTCTCCGTTCACCGGCCAATTGGTGGTATCGGTCAACCACAATGCCGGCCACGTGCCACAACCATAGGGCGTATGAAGAATATCAAAGATGAACAGACCGTTATCATAGCCAGTCTTCGACTCCAGCCGTACAGACTGTCGGCCCTTAACCGCATTCTGATTCGAGGTATCCACTCGCAACACGACGGATGAATCTGTAGCATAAGTGAGATTCAGCGCATTTGCCGCCGCGCGATCTACATATCTAAGCATTACGAATGAGCATAAAACCCCAGATAGCATAGAAGGGTGACGGGCACATACTGGACAAACCCTTCAGTCGGGTCCTCATCATGGTAATAGTCAAAGCGATCGAGAAAGGATGTTCCCGAGTACGTATCTACCAGTTGGTAGTTGAGTGGCGTATAGTCCGGATAGCGATTTGCCTTTGTGCCCTCGACGGCTCCCACAATGACAGCCACGACAACTGCAACGCCTACGACGCCCGCAATCAGCTTTGTGTGCAGTGACCACCCGCGCGGGTTGTACCACGGCTGGGCGGGTCCTGCCGGCGAAGGCGTATATTTAGTGTCTGGGCCTGGAGGGGGCCCCGCATGTTGGAAATCGTTGGCTTCAAGCTTGGGGAGGTGAGCTGTAGCTCCTCCATATCCCGAGAAGTCATCTGCAGGGATGTGCTGTGCTCTGTCTGTCATACTGCAATATGTGGTCTTGTGACTGATCTGAATCAAGGGAGGAGATTAGATATTGAAGTGTGGAAGCATGCGTCGAGTTCTGCAGATGGTGTCAACCAAGTCAATGAACTGGAAAGACAGGAAATCATGTGCTGAGCCAGAGAAGCTGTTAGGATGTTGTCATCCAGAATGCAGGAGGTGGAACGATGCCTCCGATCATGTCCTGTTCAGGAAATCCATGCTGCTGCATGCAGTTGAAATTAATCAGACGTGGGGAACCGAGCAGAGCAAAACATGAGTGGTTGGCAATGCAACGAATACCTCATCGGAGATTGCGTCAGACTCTCGGTGATTCATTCGTTTTACATCGACATCGATGCTCTACCAAGTTTCAATGGTTCTTAATGATTACACGGCCAGCCATCATATTGACTGTTTGCATTCGTCCCTGAGGCACGCACGCTAAACCCAATTGGAGCCATGGTTCATGAGGCCGGTAAACAAAACAACCTCAATAAACAAATATTAATTAAAAATTAATCCAAACTTTATACAGCCAGGTCAAAATTCGATACGACCCCTGGAACCATAGAATGGCTGTTAGGCACAGGGTCCAAGCCAGGGACGAGGAAATAAGCACTGCCAAGACCAAGGAACAAGCAGGCGAAATGGCAATTAAGTGGAGCTGCCGGAATGAGATGGATCATAGGCTGCTTACGGATTCTACAGAGTAACCCTGGCTTTAATTTACGAGTTGCTCGTTTGGGCTGTGTTTTATCTATTTTCTATTTGTGAAATACTAGTTTCGTTGCTGATAGTAGCATACAATTCAATAGACCTTGTCTGGATACCATTTATCCTTACTATGCCCTATACAGTGACTTGTTAATGATAGACCTCCACATGCTATTCCCTCCATATATAGCTAGAAGTTGGCTTCTCGACTAGTAAACAAAAGATATTACTATATATAAAGCCCATCCCAACCCTCAACCCTAGCACTCCTACCACATCAAATCCTATATACAAACCCAACAACTCCCCCAAGAAATGAAGGACAAAGAAAGCACTCTACTGCTTATAACAAGGCGTGCGATCCAACGCCGTAAAAGCAGAAGCACACTTATACTTCCCGCCGGCATTGCAAGCAGTCCCGGGCATACCATCATCGCTCGTCTTTCCGTCCGCGCGATGCGCATTCTTGCACACAGAGGGACAGTCAAGGTTTCCCTGCGTTACGTCCTGGATACGAGTTAGCATATCTCTCTCTTACTCGCTCACGTACTCAAGAACTGAGTGCATTGCTTACGGAGTAGACGCAGCAGTGCGAGCCGTCTTCGAATTCGCATTGGCAGTATGTGCAGGCCTGCGCTGTGAGCGCGCTGGCGAGGAGGAGGAGGCCGATGGAGAGGATGCGCATTTTGGATGAGGGTCTTAGATTGGTTTGGATGAGTGTGTGCCTTTGGGGTTGGTGAGAAGCAGAGGATGGGGGTGAGGGAGTTTATATGGTGGGTGGCTTTCCTAATTGGGTCAGGGGATTTGACCGGATGGTATACAATGTAGGTGCTTATCTATTTAGTTTGTCTACAGTAGACTAGGATGAGTGTCCTGGCGGGGAAAATAATGCAGGGCGCAATTTAGGAAGAACAATAGTACCTCTCTCGGTACTCGGTTGGAAACTGTTCTGGATGGAGGAGGGAATGTGTAGGGTAACTTTGGTAACTAGATCCTTCGGACTCCACCCACGTGTTGAGTACAGATATGGCCATCTGCGGAAATAGTGTATGCTGGGTACTTTTGCCTAAGAAAGGCAGATCCGGCGCAATCAATCCAAAACTATAGTTCACCTGGGTATCCAGAGACATTAAAGCTATACCCCCGAAGATTCACCGAGGTCATAGCTTGAGTTTAGCTACTTCCAGACTGCAATCTACCTTGGCTACGTGCATATGCAAGGTATATTAGGCGTCGCTACCCTAGCTTCTGGTCTGTCGACTCTGTTAGCACGTCGAAATAAACAGCCAGATTATCTCGGAGATATTGACTATGTCAGTGGCGGCGGACAAGCGGTCTAGACTATGGTAGTGATCGACATCGGCGCTAAGCATAGCTGAAGATGCTTGTCTGGGTAGCGTCATTCCTGCGGGAGAAGGATTGGGGCTTGTTGCCCTTTTAGGGGATGTAGGTTGAAGGATGGGTTGAGTGTCTTAGACATTGGGGATTTCTTCCGATACCGCTGGCTACTGTGGGTTTGGAGTATCATATGTTGTTTCTTACGCTATATACCTTGTGGAACAGGTCATTGGGGTCATGGTCAGGTTAAGGAAATGATAGCTTCCTGGAGATATTACCTAGCTACACAGCCAGTAAGAAAGCATTGTAGATCTTACATCGAAACTAGACATAAACAACACATCCACTACCAGACCCACCCTCGAACCATATTCCAAGACAAGCCTTCCACCCTCAAACGCAGCTCCACATGGTACCCGCCGGCCTACCGGAAAACTTCACCCGGAGATTCGCGTCTCCCGTACTTCCGGACGGCAAAGTCATGATAGTCCCTTCTTTCGGGGTTGAATGCTGAGTACCGACAGCATGATCGTTCCGATGATAGACCCGGGCGAGGAAAGCTTGGTCGTGCTGCTGGTGAACGACCTAGTTGCTTGGGGGTTATCTTTCGAAACCGGGATCTTTCAGTTGTGAGGATTCATCAGCAGATAGTATGTTATCTCTGTGTTGGATTTGGTGGTTATTCTGGCGTAGAGGAGCTTTGGTCGCGGGGCTAGTTTCAGGATGCATCTTTTGGGAGCTGGGATTGGAACGCTGACAGTCTATCTATCGGGTAAATAAGTGGTGAAGAGTATACCTCGATCTATTTTACAAAGTTGGCGGGAGAGCTATAACTGAATCCTAGTTTGAATGGAAACCTTGTGGCTGTGGTCTTGTTGGGTGTTCTTGATTGGCATGGAAGTACGAAACTATAGTCTTTGAGGGAGTGTCAAATATGGATTGTGTACTGCTGGGATGGCCATTTCGAATGCCAGACAGGTAGTCCAGGTTATGAGTCGTCTGGATGTCTATATTCTATGGGGTCGGTGGTTCAATAAGCCATATGTACTCGGGCGGCCTTTTATAATACAGGAAAAGATCGTTAGAAATCAGACACACAGCCTGCTGCGCGGCCTTCAATTAGGTATATACAGGAAGAGAGAATTAGCCACCGAGATTGCCAGACAAAGCCACACTATACAGCCCTAGGGAGGAAAACATTGTAGACGCTCGAGCAATGATACGCTAAACGGCAGAGGCGACGCTGAAACACGGATGTATCCCGATAACGGAAGGTCTAGAACACCAAAAGCAAATGTTACACCCAATCACACAAGATTAAAACCATTGATGTGAGTGTTGGAATAAACGACAAGGAGCTTCCAAAAAAAAAAAAAAAATCTATTTGAAAAAGCCAAAGTCCTACCGTTGAGATCTCTGTGATCGCAGGGTGGACTGGCGACGCAAGACAGGGCTCCCACTGAACCACGGCGTATTTTTGTCTCTGGGGTCTTGTCCGGTGGACATGCCGTTCTCCTGAGCCTGGGACAGCCGGTGATCCGTAGACATCTGGCTGAGACTCGAGGCACGGCGGCGCATTCGACGCTCTGCATCCGCAATTTCATGGTGGTTCAAAGCCTCGGATGGAAGCAAGATGGCACGGTCCAGTGAGTAGGGGAGGCCACGATGCCGACCACGGACTTGCATGGCGATGATAACCAACTTTGACAATGTTTGGAACTGACTCGCGAAAGATGCATTGCGCCCGGGTACCCCATGGATAAGCCGACAGTGCCATAGGCGGAGACGACCTCGAAAAGGACCGACCAGATTTGAAACGAGTAATCGTCCTGGCGCTGCAGGCGTCCTCCTTCTACAATGGTGATGATAAACAACCCCAAGAACACGTACCACAAGTCGAAACTCAGCTGCCGCCGCAAGTGAGCTCCAATATAACTCGGCGCGGTCTGGTTCTCATCGTTGTCCTCATCATCTGCAGGGTAGACGCCGAGACTTTTCTCTTCATACACATTGGTTCGACGAAGAGAGATGGCGATCGGAAAAACGGAGATATACATCATGATCATGTAGGATACCTGGACAGCGGGATGCAATTCTGATATGCTGACGACAGCAAAGCCTGCAGTACGCGTGCACGCGGCCTGGTAAAGGCCGTCTAAGATTTTGATACCGGTGGATAGAGAGGTGACTGCCGAATCTTTCAAGTCTAGAATAATGAAAAAGATCAAATCAATCCCGTTCAACGCCACCAGGATGGCAAACAGCCACCAAGTAGCATTGCGGGGGAAGAGAAGGGTGAAGCAGCGACGAGGATGATCTAAGAGAAACTTCAACTCTTCCCACAAGGGGGATTCTTTTCGCACAAGCTTGGACAATACCCAAATGATCAATCGCAACATACAGGGAAAGCCTGTGTTACCGATGATGATGAGGAAGGCCAGCAGAAGCAGGGGAAAGACGGCTTCTTGGAAGGAGCTCATCGAGTCAGGGGTGATGGAGAATCCCACGTCGTTGAAAGAGGATGCAGCCGTGAAGATCGCCCACCAAGGTCGTCCTTGCCCAATACTAGTGACAACCACACCCCAGCGAGTCGTCAGGATCCACGGCACCAAGCAGATAATCCCTAGTAGGTGGAAAAAGACATAGTACGAGATCAGCACGACTGCCAATGTTTTGAGTGCTCGATATTCGATGCCTCCTAGCTCATCCCGTTGCTCCTCGGTCAAGTCAACGAACTGGGAATTACGGCCGACCGTCGCATTCCAGCTCAGATAGGGAAGCGTGTTCCGGTCTCTCTCCTGCGTCAGGGACCGAAACACGCCGGTGAACGTGGGTCTCCGGGTGGTGGTGCGGGCCAGAGGCGATGGATCGCTCAAGTCCGCCGTCTCGCGCACGGTAGGACGGGTGTCTAACCGGGGAAAGGTGGAATTCCTCGTCCGTGTCCGTATCATATCTGGCTCATTGATGGTAATATGCGGCCCCTCCATCGGCCCTACCCGGTCGTCCTCCTCCACATGGCGTGGACTCGGTGGATCGTCGGATTGATTGCTGGTCTTGCGAGCGGCTTCTACCCCTCCACCCTCCTCTTCTTCCAGGACCTCGGGAACGCCACCACGGTCATACTCCCTCGGACTAGGTATCCTCAAGGCACCTTTGGTCCTCCGTTGATTCTCCAAGAAGGCAATGTGATGTTCGGGGCTCAATTGAGCCGGAACCCGGAGACTCCCGAACTCTCGCCTCAAGTTGTTGCTATCGGTTTCTTGCTCGGAGGTATTGCCACTCTCATCTCTGGCACCCGAAGAACTGGGTCCCGAGCCACTGTCGGAAGACGTTTTGTAGATGGCGTCTGGTTGCTCACGGTCCCGGGGGTCTCCTTGATTATCGCGCAACACCACAATGGCGCGACCCCCGACGCCAGCCTCCTCCCGGTTGTGATTTTGGTTATCCTTGTCTTCGCTAATCGTCCGCATTCTGGATCGGGTTTGGCGCAAAGCTCGAGCATCACGAACCACATGCTGAAATCGCTTTTCAAACCAGTACAGTCGGACAAAGACAAGAACGGTGTTGATGAAAATGGGGGTCGTCAGCATGGAGACCCAGTAGAGGATGACCTGCTGGTATGTTTTCAGTAGGTTGAAGTCTATCGTGTTCAGCCCACTCTGCGTGGCGGCCCCCGCTGAGAAGAAGAGCGCATCGATATAAGCGAGGTCGTTTCCTGGGTAGATAATAATCGAGGTGATTATGGCCATCGCAATGATATAAATATAGTGTATCAAGATGTAGTTGAGGCGCAGGCTCCTTAATAGTGGCACTTGCGACTTGACCGAGGCTACCCCGCGAATGAAAGAGGAAAACATCTTGACGACTACGGCTGTACCACCGCTTGGTGATCCTGACGGGGGAACAGTCGTCCGTCTGAGAGTCACGAAATGGTCGGAGAATTCTCGCGTGGCAGATGCACGGGAGGATTCTAGAAATTGGCTGTCGGAATGAAGATCAAAGGTTATCGCGCAATTCTGATGTAGTGTACCGAGGATGACAGCACGATGTCAGCTAGATGATCGACGGATCCAAATTCTCGTGGGAAAAGGTGTCGCAACCGCGAACATGCCGCAGAACCAACCCGTATTGTTAGCGTCTAGTTCTGGCGAGACGACATGCTAGCTGGAGGTATGTTGGAGTCAAGGGCATGGTTGAATGGGACTGATCATGCGATACGATATACCCTCCGTAAGCGGTGTCCGCGGGAGCCTTCACAGTCGATTCCGATGTGAAAGAATGTAGAAAGGGGTAAAGGGAGATATTCTTTGGAAAAATGTGAAAGAGTCCGGAATTTTATTTATTTATCACTGGTTTTTTTTTTCTGGTTTGAAAAGAAAAAATTAGGCTGGACACTAAAGCTGCAGGAAAGGGCAGTGCTAGGGGAGATGGAAAGCGTTAGATTGGGGGAAGCAAAAAAAGCAAACGTGAAATAATCCCTCACTGGAGACAAATCGCCGCAATGGTTCTACTAATCAACATCCGGACGTACTTTAATTTCTCTGCCTGTGGTTTGCAGAAGGAAATGCGCAACCGGCCGCGCTTTTCTGTGGCCGTACCTCCTCGTGGCTCCACCCTTGCCAGACGCCACATCGGTAGATCGCTTACCCGGATTGGCTGTTTCGCCGAGCCAGAGTCCATCTTAACCTTAACCTGAAGGCGGTCGAAAGGTCTCCATCGTCCGGGTCCCCGGGTGCCATCCACTCTTGGCTTTTTCCCTTTTTTTTTTTTTC